CCGCAGCCTCCTCTGCCAGGGTTTGGCTCTCAGCTGGTGCTTAGCAAAGCCCGTCCTGAGAGCGCTGCAGTGCTCAACAGTTAACCCCCTTCCCTTCTCCTGCTCCAGGGCCCAATTCTCCAACCTGCAGAGGCCCCAGGCAGACCCTCCCAGGAAATCCACTCCCACCCTTGGGCCTCCGCCCTGCAACGCCCGCAGCCGTCAGCCATGCCAAATGAGGCAGGGAGATTTGATGGATGGGGAGGTGGATGCCGCGCTCCCCTAGGAGAACAGTTTAATTTTATGGGGAAGGAACACAGGAACGGGGAGCCCCTGGGCCCAGCCAGCAGCCCGGCTGCAGGCGTCCAGCCGCCGCCAGGAGCATGTGCAACTCATTACCTCGCCAGTTTCCCATCTGCGGCAGCGATGACGCCACGGGAGCGGGGGAGGGGCAGAGGCCATGGCGAGCAGGACTGCAATATTTTTCTGACACTCACACCTCTCTCTGGCCCTTGGAAAGTGCCTCCGAGAAGCCAGGCCCAGCCAGGCACCACCCACTCCCAGGCCAGGCTTCCTCCCCAGTCCCCGGTTGTTACAGCAGCAGGGAGGGGGACACGGAGGCATGAAGGGGAAGGGGAGGGGAGGGAGAGGAGGAGCAGGAAGAGAGGCAAGAGGAAGCAGGCCACCCTGGCCCGAGTCCATCCACTGGATTTCGGGACAGAGGGAGAGGTAGGAGCTCCAGCCAGAGAGGGCATGGGTGAGCACCTTCAAGACACCCTCTGGGACTGGCCCTGCCAAGCAGGCCTGGCACCACAGGTGGCCCTCTGGCATTGCCTGGGAGCTACTGGGTAAGAGGGACTGTCCCTGGCTGTTAGGCCTTTGCATGAGCAGTGGGCTCCAAGGAGGAGGCCAGGTAGACAGAGCTGGGCATGGAGGCCTCTGGAGGTCATCCCTTGACAGCCACAGACCTCCCTTCCCTTCTAACCTGGTTAGTGAACAAAAGGGATGGGATGAGGCAGGGAAGGGAGAGAGAGGAGGGGGAGAGGTGGGGGGCGGGAAGAGGGGGAGGAATGCAGAGGTCAGTGCAGTGAAGAAGTAGATGTGACAGCAGGAGCCACTCCCTGGGTGACAGCAGGAGCCACTCCTGGGGGGAGGGTCCCTTCCTGGGCACCGAGGGAGCCAGCCCAGCCAGCAGCAGGAGGCTGCTCCCCAGGACCTCCTCTCCCCTCTTTCCTGCCCCCACCCCTGGTTGCTTGGGGGAACCTTTTTCACTCTCTGGAGTTTCTGCTCCAGATCCTAAAATAAGTACTTCTCAGCCCTTAGCTCCCCAGGAAGTGCTGCCTCCTCCCTTGGGAGCCACCTGGTACCCCTTTAGGAGGAGGCGACCAGGTAAGGATCAGTGGGGTCTGGCTGGTCCTGCCTGGAATGTGTCCTCCAGAGAACTCCTGCCCAGGACTTCACAGGGACAGAGGGGAGCTAGCCAGCTGCAGGTCCCGGCCACACCCCTGAACTTAGCAGCTGAGCGTGGGCAGATAGTGCTTTAATTGCCCTGGCTCCAAGTCTGCTCCCCGATAGGGTCTGCTTCCAGCAATGAGCTACCTCTCAGGAGCATCAGCCCACCTCCTGAGAGGTAGCTCCTTGGAATTCCTTTCCTAGGAGGGAACCTGGAGAGAAGATCCCAGTCAGGTTTCAGCCCTGCCATTAACCCCTTGGTGACCTTGGACAAGTCATATAGTTAGTCTCGAAGATCTCCTGATGCAGAGACTGCAGAGACAGCCAATCCCCTTCCCTGGATTCAAGAGTCTATCAAGGATGAACAACCCACCCCCTACAGTAGGACCGCACAGAGCAGGAGAGCCCCCCAAAACACAGCAGCAACACAGAGCGTTTCAGGCATCTTGGATGTTAGAACTCTGGGCCCTGAGCAGGGACGTGCCGGGGACTGTGAGCCACAGGGTCTGGTGTGAAACTTGGGAGGGTTCTAACAGGTAGAGAATACAGGGTGGGGAACAGGCACCAAGGAGGATGACACCAAGGCCCAGAGCAGGAAGGACAGACAGACCCATGGATTCATATTGAGAGTGACATGTTGGGGGTGGACCAAGGGACCAAGATAGAGCCTGGAAACCTCGCTGGTTAGAGAGGGAGCCACCAGGGAGCAACCTCTACCTGAGGATGGGCTTACACCTGGCCATCTTGAAGGTCCGTGGGCACTGGGGTCTGAGTCACACCTAACAGCTGGCCCCCACTTTGAGGACCTTCTTTCCCGGTGCCAAGACCCCAGAGCCCGCTTCCAACAGGAGGAAGTAGTGCCCACCCTCCTCCCTCTCAAAGACACCATTTTGATTCACTTAAGGCCCATGGGGGTGGCCCTGGCCCAGGCCTCCGGTTTCCCAGCCCTTGCCACCTTCCTCTTTCTCCAGGCCTGGCCCCAGCCCTTCCTCTCCCTCTCTGTTCTACTTTCCAGAGTTGATCCAGAAGCAGTGAAATTCTTCAGAAACAGACCCAACCTGGCCTGAATTTCCCCAGGCTCTCCATCCTCCTCTTAGGAAGATGAAAGGGAGGAGGAATCAGCCAGGATCCCAGGAGTTCTCAGAAGCTGGTTTCACCCCAACATGGCTCTATTTGGCTTCCCACACCACCACCCACCACCCACCACTGTTTTCAGGCATGGCATTTGGGAACTGGCAGGGACCTGAATTATCCCCTGCAACCCTATGTGGCAGATGAGGACACTGAGTTCCACAGATGTGATGGAGGCAGTCTGGGCCTCACAGCTTCCAGCCTCCACTGTCTGCACCTCACCAGGAGCCAGGCCTCTGGGGACCCTGTGTGCACAGGACCCTCTCAGCATGGCTCTAAAGCTACCCTCTGACAAACCTGCCCACAGCTGGGGACCTGGCCAGCACAACAGCTAGCACAACATTTGGACCCTTCTGGTCCAAATGAACTTTCTCGATTCATTTCTGGTGGGATGAAATGCCAAGGGTGGGATGAGGTAAGGGAGAGAGGATAGGATGGTCCTGGTGACATCGCCCCACCCCATGCCTCTCGCACTGCTGTGGCGCCCAGGCACCCCAACCCGGTGCTGATCGTTGCTTCCAATCACCCCACTGTGCTGTACCCTAGTTCCTTCCGGCTAAACCAGGCCTCTTTCCTAGGTGCCAGTGGGGACAGAGGAGGATCAACATCACCTTTGCTGATGTGCAGAGCAGGGCCAGGCCCCCAGGGCCTCTCCTCTCTTCCCAGGCACAAGGACTCTAACAACAGAAGCTCTAGTTCAGCCCAGGGAACAAGCTGGTAGGCCTTTTCCCAACGTCTCATAAAATCTTTTTCAGTCTTCAAGTCCATATATTTCGACCCAGTTCACCTTTGGGGGAATTGTTCCCACGACAGCTTCCCTGATTTCTCTTCAGAGGCTCCCTGGTACCTAGCACATCACCCGACACATCGAAGGTCCTCAGAATATGTCTGAGTACTGCATTCCAGAGGAACAGCCACGTGCAAGAGTGGACAGTTCTTCACAAGGGTAGGCTGAGAAGTGGTTGGTCAGAAGCCCCAGTGTCCTTGTCCCCTCTTCCTGCTGGGACTGTCCCCACTCCCTGCCTCGCTGAGCCACCCCACTTCCCTCCCACATCAGCACCTTATGGGAGGAAAGAGGAAGTCATTTCTTTTGAGTAATTTCAGGATAAAGGCAGTTGTCAGAGTTGTGCAAACCAAAGCGCGATCGTGGGGGTCTCAGGAAGACCCCGCGCATGAAGGGCTGGCTCTCCCTGGTGGTCTGCAAGACGCACTCCATCCTCTTTGAAGTAGATGCTCCCCTCCTGCACGTGCTTTAGTGAGGATGGATTCGCCCATGCAGTCAGCATTTGTTAAACAGCTTTAGTATCCAGCTCCATGCTGGTGCACCAGGACCAGTGCTGGGAAAGAGCTCAGGGACCCCTTGGATAAGCTGCACCCACTGAACCTCCAGAATTTTAGCAAATACCCAACCTCAAGATGCAGTGCCTTCCAGCATGACCGGAGCCTTCTCCCTTCACGAATGTGTCAGGAAATGGAAAGGAGGCTCCTCCTCATCCTGAAAGGGTGAGGGCCAGCTGGCTCAGATATCCTGGTCTGACCCCAGCCTTACTCTGTGAGAGGCAGAAGGACTGGCCCAGGAGCGAGGAACCTCTCCATGATGGCATCAAGTGTGGGATCAAGTTGTTCTCAGCCTCAACTAGCCCATCTGTAAAGTGGGTACCCATCTTGCTAAGCACACAGGTTTGCTGAGATGAATGAATGAGAAAACACATGGAAAGACCTTTCAAGGCATGAAACTCAACATAGGCAGAATTAGACTGGAGGTCACCAGTGCCCTGGGCAATGCCAAGGTCAGGTGGGGGGGCAGGGATCCTTCCCCAACCCAGGGAAGACGATGCACCCCAAGACGCAGCTAGGAGCACTCACCATCCTCACACAGGTTCAGCTTGGACAGGCTCCTGCCATCGAAGGGCTCCTCAAAGATGGAGCCGGTGTCCCTGTCGCTCACGGTGTGCAGATACATGGCCTTGTTCTCCATCACGTCCTGCAGCCACAGGGATGGCAGGTGGGGAGGGGTGGGGGGACAGAGGAGAGAGACACAGTCAACTACAGGTGGGAACAGGAACAAAGGGACAGACCAAGGGGCCACCTAAGTGGCCCTGGACCAGAACCCAGGGACCATCTCCCTATCAACAGGAGCCAGCAGCCACCCCCCAGGTCCTCGGGACTCCAACCCCACTCCCTGAGCAGGAAGGCCAAGGCACTGGGTCTGTCTGGTCGTGGAGCCTGACACTTCTATCAACAGCTCTTGGTGGGGCTGGAGCCCTGGGCTGGGGGCACCTTGGCCACCCTGGGCGAGCCCTGAGGGAGCTGAACTGGCTACCCACAAGGTGACCAGGGAACAGCTCTGAGAAGCCTGGGTGTGCCAGAGAGACCTGGGCTGAATTGTGAGTTGGGAATGAGGGACACACAGGGGTGTCCAGGATACAAGGCCACCAGCTAACACAACCGAGGAAGAAAGAACTACTCCAAATCCCTGGGGGACCACAGCAGGGCCTCCCTGGAGGCCCCAGAGGCATAGAGATGGAGCAGCCTGAGACCAAGGCAGGGCTCCTGCCTCCATGTCCCTGAGCCCGACCCTCTGGTCCTTGGGTCTATCCCCTAGTGTTCCAGGGATGTCCCCACTGACTGGGGAAATCCTCTGTCACTTATGGTGAACAAACCGATTTGCACAACAGTGTGTGCATTTGGTAGTGCACCTGGGCACAGAGGATGTGCTCAGAGGCAGCTGGTTGGCTCTGGTGAGGCTCTGGTGTGGCAGGACTTTGGGAGGGACTGTGGGGATCGGGTTCTTCTTTTTGCTTGTAGATTTTCTGAGTTTTCTATGATGCATTTACATTCCTTGTGTAGCACAAAAAATCCTTTTTAAAAGCCAATTTACAAATTATTTACATAGAATATTTCGTATTCCTTTTCTCAGTGATCTAACCAACTGTGCTTCATTCTTGTCACAGTTTTAGTCAGTCATAAGTTTATGTCAACCTTGTTTCTGATGCTTTTTGACTTCTGGATATTTAACATGCCCCCAGGAGCGTGGGGTCCCAGGTCTAGAAAGGAGCACACGCAACTGGAAGCCAGAGGAGCTGAGCAGCGTCTCTGGGCCAGGAGAGGAGGGAGCCTGTCGGGGGTTAGAGGGAGCAAGGCCATTGATCACAGGACCAGTGGGCTCCTCTTCAGCGGCAGAGGCCAAAGGAGGCATTGTCCTTGCTCCGTCATGAGGGGGAATGAGGGGGAGGCGGGCCTCAAGCAAAACGCCAAAGCCGATTTCATGACTTGAACTTGGTCTCCAGAGACCTCTGGCTTTGAGATTGAGAAGAGGCCAGAACTGACCATTTACTGCTCAACTGCCCTTCAGCTGACCCAGGAAGATGGGGCTTCTGCTCTTATCTCTAAAGTAATGAGACTCCACAACCCTTGCACGTGGGCTCACACACACACACACACACACACACTGTGTACACACAGGCACACACCAAATCATGTGTGCCCAGTCTCTGCAGCCTTCCCTCCAATCCGTGGGAGGGACAGAAGAGCAGGGAGGTCCATCGTCGGCCAGGATCCCTCCTGCCCAACCGGCTCCCACCCAGCTTCTCTGTGCCTTCCCCCGGGGTATCTAGTCTGCTAGCCTCCTAATACACGCCCTCTGTCCAAGGCCTCCACCCAGTGAGGGCCTCTGGGTGGGACCAGGGTGCTCTGTCACTGCTCAGCTGCAGGGGAGCCTCCCTAGTTTCACGAGCTCAGTGTGCGGCACCCCTCCCTCTGGCCCCGCTCCTGGGGAGCTGCAAGCAGGGGCCAGCATCTCCTCTGCCTCGCTAACCCTCAGTCTGCCAAAGGCAACAGAGCCCACAGCCAGAGTGGACAGGACGCGGCCCCTGCGGATGGGGTGCAGAGCCCCAGCTTCATTCCCCTGTCTTCCTCTCCTGGTCAGCTCCCGGCCAGCGGAGGCCCGTTATCTGGAATGTATCTGCCGGGCGGCCCCTCCTCTGCCTCCTCCCCGCCCCTCGGCTGGTCAGTGCAGCAGCCCAGGGGACCCTTCTGGGAGAGGGGCTAGGGCCAGATGTGAGTGAGATGCGTTTGGAAACCTCAGCTGTTCGTTACTTGGAAATGAAGCATACGCCCGTTCTGCGGGCCCCGGTTTTATTAGGGGCTGCTTTTTCGTTCTTGGGGAGCGGGGCCATTTGGACCCTTAGATCTTGAGTCTTATCACCCTCGGGCTGCTTCTGCTCTCAGGCAGGACGGGCTGACTGGTGAGGTGTGGCAAACTGCAGGCTCACACATAAACACGCCCCACAGGGTGCAGAGCGCTGACCCTCCAGGGTCTCCCTGTGGGCTCCTTCCAGGAGCACTGAACCTTTTTATCCCATCTTTCCCATTTTAAAGGCAAGCCAACCAAGGCCACAGAGGCAAGAACTAATATATGTCAGAGTGGAAGGGTGCCGGCTGGACAGGGGCTTCCCACACAGGGCACTGGCTCCGCCACCAGGTTGCTGTGTCCAGAATGCATGGGTGCCTGCCTTCAGGGTCCCAGACCGGGCAGTGCAGAGTCAGTGCACCCCAGGAGGTGGGGGCTGGGACACCCATGCAGGATGCCAAAGCCACAGGGACTGTGGACAAAGCCTGCAGAGCCTGGACTCTGGCATTTCAAGTCAGAGTGAGGTCACCCCGTGAATAGGGAGGGGAGGATTTACTCCCAGGCAGTTTTACCCAAGGCACTTAAAAGCACAGGTTAGAGGCCAAGGATTTGCTTCCAAACTGCATCTGAGAGCAGAGAAAGCCCGCGGCCACCTGCACCCCTCCATGCAGGCAAGAGGCGGACGGTGTATGGAGAGTTCAGAGGATCCTGTCCCGGCTAGTCTTCTCATCTGTAATTGGAGAACTTGACCTCATCCAGCCCCAGAGCCCAGAAGCATCACCTCTACCATGGGGGTCTGTCCTGCTGCCACCAGGGGAACTGTGAGACAATGAACATGGAGGGCTCTGTGAACGAGGTCACCCAGGCAGCTGGTGGCAGAGTCAGGTGGAAACAAACACCCTCCAGCCAGGGATGCAGCATAGACGGGACCCTGACTCTCAAAGCCCCTCTTTGAGCATCAGAAGGACAGAATGAACTCTTCCTGCTGAGGTCAGGAGCAGGGGGTGGCGGGAGCTTTGCCTGCTCTTCTGAAGATGGTTCCTGTGGCTTCCAGCCTCTGACCCTGCAGAGCTCACAGCTTTTCTTAGGACTGTCTCATTTTAGACTCATCAAAACCAAGTTTGTTAAAAAACAAAAACAAAACAAAACAAAAACCTAAATGTGGCCCTAGAGAAAAAAATTGCTACACAGGTTTTAAACTCTTTCTTCCTTTAACTGTATTCAGTTGACCCAAAGCACAACCCACAGCTGGAGAGGTGCAGCTGTTTTATAAATAGCCTGTTGTATCATATGTCCCCTCACTGGGCACACGTGCACACATACACAAACAGAGCACAGGGAGAGGGGCTGTCCACCCATCCATCTGCTCCCTGAATAGGGTCTCCAGCTGTGACATGAGCCAGGCAGAGTTGCTACCAAGGCAACAGCTTCCCTCTGACACCGGATGTGGGCTGATACTCTCCAGCCCAGGTAACTGGATAAGGGCCCAGCGGATGTCCACAGGCTCCTTGGCTGGGACCCTCCCACCTGGGGCAGGCACCTCGGGGCTTTGCCTCCCAAAGACTTCCAAACACAGTGCTCTGCTCCATCCGGCTCATCGGGTCTCCTCCAGCTGCCTTTGGGACACCATACCCTGGTAGGCACCAGGGCAAGGTTAGTGTCAAGACTCACCTGAGTCCCTCTGCTGAGGCTGGAGAGCTTGTCCCCTCAGTTCCTGGCATTCACCATGGTGGCCAGAGAGCTGGCTGATGCCCCACCGAGACCCAGGCAGCCCCTCCGAGCTTGTCTCCACAGCCAGCCAAATCCAGACGGAGTCATAGAAGAGGGTGCAAGGCCACAGGGTCACTTCTGTGACTTGTCTCAGGACAAGGGCCACAGGGTCACTTCTGCAGGACCAAGATTCAACCTGGTGGCCGAGGAAGAGGGGGTCTGCACCTGGGGCTCTCTGTCTTGGTGCGTCGCCTGCGTCAGCCACAAGCAGCAATCCAGAGATGTTCTGAGGAGGCACCGGCAGCTCTGCTAGGTACTGACCAAGTGGGAACTGAGCTGCTCCAGCCGCGCTGTCTTTATAAAAAGTTTTTGCTGCAACTGCGGAGGCTCTGCTGGCGGGATCTGGAACACGCACCCCCTCTTGTGGCCACTCCCAGCATTACAGCTCCTCACAGGACTGCGCCAGCCGACCACAGCTGAGAAGCCAGCTTTGGCCTTGGGACTCCAGCGCCTGAAGAACCGGCTCAAAATACTTTTTGGACAGCTTCTAGAAGAATTGCAGCTAGATCTGGCTTATGAGCCACACAAGGAAACCAGTCTTGCAAATTTATTTATAGGACCGAGTTGGCATTACTCAACTCATTCAATAAATTTGGCATAGAATTGTTTTATGTATTTTCCTGAATCACACCCATCCCCCAAGGACACAGATGGGCCACTCTGGGGTTGTTCAGAAGTGGGCCTCAGGGGCTCTGAAGTAACATCCCCCAATCAAGCTCAACACGATTCAGCAACAAGGTCAGTGTTCCTAGAGCATCAACTGCGCCAGGCGGGAGAATCCAGGATCCCATGAGGCACCCTGGCTGTTGGAAAGGGGTTGAAATCTGGTATGGGAGATGGAACAGGGCACAAAAGCCATAAGCCTAAGTACAGACAGTTACATTTACAAAAGGAGATTCAGCCGATGCTGTGGGAGCCATAACATTCAGAGGAGGTGGCCAAAGTGGGAAAGATGTCAGAGAAATCCCCAAAACAGTGAGCCATGGTGGCATGGCCAGTCCCATGGATGGATGTCAGAGGATTGAACACAGAAAGTGACTTCCATAAATGATTTCCTGTTTGTCGGTTAAAAATTCAGCCTCCAGCTGGGGACAGTGGCCCACCCCTGTAATCCCGGCAACTCAGGAGGCTGAGGCAGGAGGATTGCAAGTTCAAGGTGAGCCCTAAGCAATTTAATGAGACCCTGTCTCAAAAATTAAAAAGGGCTGAGGATGTGGCTCAGGGGTTGAGTGCCCCTGGGTTAAGTCCCCAGAACCCCACTCCTCCCAAAAATTCAGCCTTCACGCTTCGGGGTCAGCTTTCGAACATGAGGAGGTTTTGCCAAGGCTCAGCTCCGCCTAGAGCGCAGCTGCCAACCCATGCTGAGTCAATAATAATAAGAGGGGAAGGAGAAAGGGGGGCGGGTGGAGAGCAGGAGGAGAAAACGCTTCATAGCCTTTATTATGTGCTGGGCAATTCCAAGTGCTTTTCCTATGTTAACTCATTTAACCTATGCGGTTGTCCCTCAGCAACCACTGGGATTGGTTCCACGTCCAAAACTCTCCCTTCCCAAGTCCTTCGTAAAAGACAGCTTAGTGTTTGCCTAAAATGTATGTGTACTCTCCCTTATACTTTAAATCATATCTATATTACTATTATACCTAATGCCATATAACTGCTAGGTGACTAGTTGTTATACTGTATTGTTTAGGAAATATGACAAGGAAAAAAGTCTGTACAAGTTCAGTAGAGACATTGGGCTTTTTAAAAAATACTGTTGATCTGCGGGTGGTTTGAATCCACTGGTGTGATATGGAGGGCCATCAGCGCAGCAGTCCTGTGAGGTAGGTGCTACTGTGGTGACCATTTTACACAGACAAATCAAGTCACTTGTCCCAGATCACACAGCCTGTAGTGGCAGAGCTAAAACCAAGCCCTGGGCAGTTGGACTCCAGAGCCGGTAACTGCACCCTGTACCATCTCTCACCAAAGGAATGCTTCTGCCACCTGTCAATTCACAACATTCCCAGGAATGAATGGAGTCTTAGAAACAGCCAGGAGTGTGCTCAGAACGTGATTCCGGAGCTCTTCCCGGCAGAGAAGCAGGCAGTAGAAAGAGATGCACTGGCTTGGTGCTGTGGCTTCAGTTTGTCCCCTTTAGTTCATGTGTCGGAAACTTGGTCCCCAGAGCAGCAGTGGGATCCACACTCACAAGAAGGTGGTGTGATATGAGCTAAGAGCAGCCATAGAAGACGCCACCAACAAAGGGGCTAGTGACGGTGGTTCTCACTCTGCCATGTGAGCACGCAGGGACAGCAACACACCAATGCCGGCACCTTGATGGTGGACTTCCCAGCTCCAAACTGGGAGGAAGAAAACCTCTGTGTTATACAGTCTCGGGCATTTCTGGTTTGTAGCGTAAATGGACTAAGACAGTTAGAGAGACCCTGCTCAAAACTCACTTTACCTAAAACAGACTGTTTCCCCACATGGCCACACTGGTGTGCCCTTCACCCGTTGGGGAAGGAGGAGGATGAGGAGAGAACTGAGACCCCAACTCAGCCCAAGCTATTGGCTGAACCTCTGTCACCATGGATAATTGATGATCCGACTGGGAAAGGGTCTGGTTTCCTGCACAAGATCCAGAAATAGGCACAGAGCCATTAAACTGCACTGCAGGAGGGGTGGAATCTGTACTTTAAATCCAGGGACTGTGGGGCGCCTTTTCCCTCCCTTGTTTCAGGTTTATTTCACCCCTCGTGTAAGGATAAGGTGTGTCCATATTGATGCTTGTAACTACTTCCTCCTTTATTTCTTTCTTTTGGCTGAGCATTAGTGTTCCTTTATCTGCAAACACCACACTTTGTTCATGCCCTCTCCTGTTGGTAGGCATCTGGGTTGTTTCCAGTCTTTGTCTAGAATGAAGTGGGGGAAAGAGAAAGGGGACGTTTGATGATAGTGCAGGACAGTGTGCCCCAGAGGACAGACATCCCAGGGGTGAGAGGCCTTTGGACAGCTCTTAGCTCATACCATGCTGTCTTTGCACCTAAAATCAGAATGGTCTAAGAGTGGTTTCCTTCATTTTGATCACACACCACGGCATCTGTCCTTGACATTGTCCCTCAGAAGGTGTTAGGAAATGTGACAGCATCGATGGAGGGGTGACTAGACTTCTGAAGGAGCTGTATCCTTGGAAATGCAGGCAACAGAATCTGAGCACATGGAGAAACCATGCTTGGCATAACCAAGAGCTCTCCCAGCGCCCACATCTGTCCTGTGATCCACGTGGGACACGGAAGCGCAGGGACCACATCAGAGCATAGCGCATGTACCCAGGAGCTTCCTGCTTTCTTTAACTGTCCCATCCCTGAGTGTACCCCCGTCACCTCCTGTGTCCAGCCCTGCAGTGGGCTCACAGCCCATGGTAAGCCACCACTTTCTAGCAGGGTGCATGGACAGCAGTCCTCAGAGGTGCTCATGGAGAGAAGCCCAGATTCCAAGCCAAGGAGCCCACTCCTGACTCCCAGCTCAGGGGATGGGGAAGTCACAGGACCTCCCTGAACCTGAGCTTCCTCCTCTGGACAGCCAGGTTCCGACGTCCCGGCCTCCCCACCTCAAGGGTGCTTCCCAGGGACACAGGAGCTCTGAGACACTAATGCTCTTCAGCCATTGCTATTATTTCTCAGAGTTGACAGCCCTGACAAATAGGATGTTAGTCGCTATGTAGGTCTCTCCAGGGCCCAGCTGCTGACAGCTGGCGCTGAGTCCAAGGAGGGGAGGCAAGAGCCTCCGCCTTGTGGAGTTCCCTGCTCCTCACCCATCGTGGAATCTGCCCAACCATCTGCTCCGTCTCCCTGTGCTCGGCTCGTTTTAATTCATTTCCCAGAAGGTGTGGGGATGATGGATGATATGAGACAGCCCAGGATTTCTGACATTGGCTCAGGGTCATAGGCAGTAAAACAGATGAGCCTCCTCCCAGACATGTGCATGGGCCAGAGACCCAAGAGCAGGACCTGGCCAGAGCTCCTTATATTGTCAAACTCAGTGACCCAGGGTACCCTCGAAGGACATCTGTCTTGGAGCTGAGATGCTCTGAATTTTGCTTGGGAATTAGATGATGAAATTATTTTAAAGTGAGCAATTTGTAGTTGGTAGCCAAACAAGTTCATTCAAGTGAATCCTAAGGAACTTCTCAAAAGAGGGTGAAACCTTGGGCCAAAACTCCTCTTCAGAAGACATTTTAGTGGGATAAATGTAAAACAGACACCAATGTTGGAACAGTGCATCTTCCCATATACAGGATGTAGGATGCCAGGCTGCTCAGAGGACATAAGAAAAAGCCTCACGTGTTATATGACTTTGAAGTTGTCGTAAGTCAGCAAGAGCCGAGGAAATAGCAATTTTAAAACTTAGGCAGCATTCATAGCAAACATGATGAGCAGAAAAATGGAGGTTATGAATCCCCCCTGAATTTTGCATTGATGATATGGCACTTGATATGTAGAGTATTCAGCTCTAGGGGCAGCTGGTCAAAGGATTTAGTCATAAGTCAGAGGTTGACTAGGGGGGTGAAAGGTCTAGAAACGGGCAGGAAAGGGCTGTATTCAGGGTTTGTGGTCTGAGTTTGCAGGCACATGAAGGTGTGAGGTGTCTTCTGCACCATCATGGAAGAAAGGCAGAATGCCCTCCAAGGGTAGAAGCTCTGATCACCACTGAGCCTCCGGACCTGGGTGCCTGGCTGATGACTGGGGAATTCCCCCACTGCCATCCTTCTTACCACAGCCTGGCACTCCACAGTGGAAGAAGCACCTCACAGAGGTCTCCCGCATTGGGTGACTGGCTGGACCCGCAACCTCTGATGTCTCTCCAAGTCTGAGTGGGCCCCTGCAACATACATACATATATATGTATATCTTCTGCAAGAAACTTCTTCCACAGTGATAAGAAGCAACTTAGAACTGATTCTGATGCCTAACTTGCTCTGGTTGGGGCAGAGAAAGAACATTCCATGAATGCTTTTAATAGTAAGAACTAAGAACAGGAAATATTATAGCCAATGACCATAATAAGTAAGAATAACGAAGATATTTCAGCTACGTATTATGCCAGGAAGAGAGAAAAGCAAAAAAGAAAGTTGAGAAAGGACAATCGAGATAAAAGACAGAAAAACAAGGCAAATGAGTGGGAAAAGAGGAGGCATGGTGAGGAGAGGAGATGGAGGAAGAGGCAGGACTCAGGATATAAAGGGATGCAGGTTTTTTCTTTCCCTCCTTTCTTGAAGCATGACTAGTGAAAAATGTAGGTTTTCTTCCCTTGGAGTTTAGACTGTATA